TCCCCAAACGGAGCTTCTCGGAAGATGAGGGTGAAGGGGCATCGATCACAGACCAGCCTCCCAAGCAGATGACTTCTCCTTCGGCTTTCGCGTCTGCCCTGAACAACTCCGGGAATTTTCGACGAGGAGACTCAACAGGACGCATTCGCAAGCCATTCTGCAACATGTAGGAAGTGTAGCGAAGCACAAAAGCGACTGCTTTAGGGACAGGCAAGCTGATGCGTACAAGGGGCCAAGAAACGGGCGGAGGTGGTCAATTGCGGCCATGGCAAAATTCAAAAGGCCGAGGACCGAAGCAAAGTCGTGCATCCTGACTGTTCCCGCAGCAAGGGTATCTTCAATCCAACGACAAATCCAAATTGCACGTTTATCGCTCCCGACGTTCCCTGCCTCGATGTCAATGAAGCTGAATGGAACTCCAATCACGACCATGAACAGGAAGGCGACTGCAAAGGTCAAGAAACCTGAAAGGAAGCCAAAAGCCAATTGGCATAACACTGCCACATCTGGATGTGTTTCTTCAAGTTGCGGCTCCGAGAACGTCCTGTCAACTTCAAAGCCCAGCGGTCAGCCATGTCAGAGGGGACATCTCGAAGAGCAGGAACAGAGGCGTCTGCCAATATGTCTGCGAACTTCCTACTCCAACGCGTAACTGCTGCCAACTCTTTCTCAGCCCGACTGCAGGCCGGGCCTTTTGGTTCTTTGAGACGGGTGCGCAACTTAGCCCCGGAGCGCAGCAAACATTCCAGGGAATGTGCAGGAGCAGTTGCAGGCACGGAGGTGCGAGCTTGCTTGCGCACGGATAACCACTGCAGAAAAGCGTGAGCCGCGGCACGTCGCTTACGACGAAGTACCGCCGAAGTGGTTACCTGAGCCAGCAAGGCTTGAATCACCCGCACGCTCCAATCGAGCTCAGCTGCATCAGCAGCGAAAGATGCAATGAACCCACTCCACTCTGAATCATCCAAACAAAGGTTGCGCAGGGTCTCTGCATCAGGCATGGTTTGGCCGAGATCCCATCGCATCGACTCTGGGAGCTGCTGCGGTTTTCCCTCGGCTGAAGCCGATAAGACCAGAGCCTCGTCTGTAGCACCATGGCCAGAAGATTGCTCAGTCTCGGACATCACAGGAGCACGAAGAAAAGAGCGCAAGCAGACACAGGGACCAACACAATGAGGACACAGTGTGCCCAGGAAGCATTGACTCAAACAAGCAAGTGAGCCAATTGAAGCACAGACAACAAGCAACCCAAAATACGCACAAGGCGAACAGCAGCAAGGTAAACATGCCACTTGCCAAACACTCCAGTCCCACTACGATGCACCGAGGGCGCACTACACCACGGCCACGACACATTCACACGAACTCGAAAAATCATGGAACAAACCCTAAACCCCAAACCGGCTTCAAAGAGGCGGTTGTCCTCTGAGCACCGGGCCGTGCAGATAGCGCCAGCCCTGGCTGAGGCCTTCGGCGATAGGAGCCGCGATGCTTTGTTGCTCAATGCATGCACAAGTTCGTCGAGAGTACATTTCATGTGTCTGTTGGCTTCCTTCGGTTTGTGTAGGTCTAGGTCTTGTATTATCATGACTTAAGCAAATCAGCCTTCGAAAGAGCGCCAAGACAAAATGCACTGCTGGATAAAACCATTAACAAGTTTTGGTGCATAGCGGCATAGCAACCACCCATACTAGCTGCCAGTAGGAACCAGGATCAGGGTCATGTTCATTGGCTTGATGCCTGAGCATCCAGGCTTCATTTCATGCGGCTCTGGAAGTGAACTGAACTACATGACCACAGCACGTTTCTGTCAGTTGGTCTCATGACTTTTCGGTGCGGCTTGTGCAGTGTACTGACTTCAAGAATAAAAAATCAGCAGCTCCACCCAACCTCGCCCAAAAACAACGGAGGCAACCGCAGGGTCTTGAACCCTAAACCATCTCGATGCTGAAGGGGTCTTGGCACATGGGTAGTTCTTGAAATTAGGGTCCCTTTTGGGGTGCCCATTATGGTACGGCACCCTTATAAAAAAGGACCCTAAAAGGGATCCTAATTTGGACACCCACATGGATGCGCCTAAACCCAAGCATGGGCCTGCCAAAGTTCGAGCCTCTGATCCTCCAAAACAGCTTTAAAGCTGCAGCCCTGAGACCGAGCCGAGAAGTTTAGAGTCTATGCTACCTTATCTTAGGTTATGCTACTTTGCATTATAGTGTATTATCCTTTATCCTTCATCAAATGACCTTGGCTTAAACTGCCTTATGTTGAATCAGACCATGCTATGCTGTGGTATGCCATGCTACACTATGCGATATCATATTGTACCAACCATATAACACATAGTACACCGCGACAGTGCCCAACTCAGGCAAGCGGCACAGCTCGAGGTGTCTGTTTCTGCAGCCTGCTACGGCAGAAGTCTTCTTACCCCGAGGGGCCTCAGGTTTGAGGCTCCCTCCTATTACGCCTAAATCGTCTTAAGGTCCATCGTGAAATTCAATCTTGCATTTGTTCCAGGACGAATGGCTTTAGGATACCTCGGTTTTTGGGGTATCGGGGGACTTTCCCTGAAGAGCTGTGGGTTTGTGAGCCTTCTCCCAATCTTCCACGCTGCCGGGTTTCGTGATTCTCCACACTGACCCCCCCATGCCGGGCCCGGGATCACTCACATTTTTGGGAGTCTGGGAAAAGGATACCTGGCTCAGGGTCTAGTCGATTTTATGGATTCTAGAGCTGGGTGTGTAGAGCTTCGGCCTTGGGGGTTCAGTGTCTCGATGTTTCCTCAAAGCCCCCTAGGCCAAGCTCCAGACCTGGGACCAAACCCCGAAGAGTCCAAAGCTCAGCACAAGCCCCTTAGGGCGCAGGGACGCGCCCGAGAAGTCTTGAAGTCCGTTGTTTGTAGGAGAATAACTCTGTAATCTCAGCCCGGCTGGGATCCCCTTAGGGTAACCTCGAAGTGTCCCGCAACAGGGAAGAGCCGAAAAGGACATCCAACCATGAATCCTGCCCCTTACAGTATCAAAGTGAAGCTTTCAGACCCTCAGCGAGCATGTCGCGCACAAAGGACTTAATAAACCCTAAACCCAAGAATCTTCAAGCCCAATCCAGCTAGAGGCCTCGTCGGAGCCCGGCACAGCCGGCAGAGGAAGACTGCAGCGCACCTCTTCACAACGAGGCCTTGGTCTTGAGAAGAGCGGCACAGGCCTTTTCCCAAAGAGCCCCAACGGGTCCTGAGATAAGGAATGGATCCTTATAGATCATGATGACAAGCCTGAAAGCCTGAATCAAGAACTCTAGTTAGAGTGAAGGGTGAGCAACTGAGTTTCTGCGAGTCTTTGATGATCTGATAACCCCCATCAAGCAGTTTTGAAGAGAGGCATAGTCGCCCTTCGACAGTTTCGACTGGGCCTACACAGAAAGCATTTCCGGCACAGGGTGTGGTGGAAATCCTGTTCAGATGACTGCAGCTTCTGAACATACCGGGAGTCGGAATTCCGAACAGAGGACTGCCTGTTTTGCAGACACGTCTCTAACAGCCTTCTGATCCGGAACGAGGAGCAGCCCGGTCGGGGTCTGATATTTACGGGCCATTACTCACTGGAACAGGGTTTCGGACGGGGGGGGGGTAGGAAATTATGGTACATTTTTTGGCAAGAAGCCCACAGGAACGGTATTCGCAACTGTTCAGGCTTCTGTAAACCCTAAACCCGAAAGCCTAAACTAACCTAAACTAAACCCTAAACCCTAAAACCCCAGGTATGGGGCTTGCAGCGAAGCCCAAGAGAGGCTCTCTTGGTGCCACGCAGCACGGCCGGCAGGTTCTCCTGCCACGGCAGACAGGTCTAAGAGTCTCGGGCTTCCGGGCTTTGTGGCTTTCGAGTTTGGGGGGGGGGGGGGGNNGGGCAGACAGAGGGCTTTCTTGGTCTATGGCTTAGGGGGAGGGGCCGGGAGGGACCGCCGCCTCGCCGCAAGGCAGTTTGGGAAAACTTGGGAGATGACTCTGTTCTGCGCCTTCCCGAGCCCCAACCGAAGCCTTGAAGCCATGGGGTTGACGCGTGCCCTGAAGCCGCAGACTACTGCAAACCCTAAATCTAAATCACGCCAACAACACAGCCGATAATGTGGATCAATCCCACTAAGCTCACACAGCCCGTCCTGGGAGTAGAGGATGTTGCGCAACTCCACCCTGGCAGGCCTCCATGGCAGGATCAAACGTCTCCTTGAGGTTTTGAGCTCCGGGATTGTATGATTTTGGGGTTTAGGGTTCTAGGGTGAGTATCTAGGCGAGGGTACCCAAAACAGTTTTTCGGGTGGCACTGCTGTGCGCTTCTATGGGCTATCACCGGAACCTCGACACGCTCATCTAAGATCTTCGGGCGAGAAAGCTAAACTTTAAGCATCATTCATTGAAGCTTGGATACCCCAAACCGTTTTCAGATTTCGCATCGAAACCCCAAGACTCTTAAACCCCAAACTCTCCCCCCCAAACCCAAAGCCCTAAACACTGAACGCTTTGAGCTCCGGGCGCATCCCAAGGACCGCCGGCATAGGCCGCAGCCACCGGAAAGTCCATCCGGGCCAGCACCTGCCCCACACCAAGGGTTTAGCAAAAAATACTCCATGTTTCAGGTTTAGGGTTCCGAGCGGTTTAGATATTTTAGATTTTAGGGTTTCAGATTTGGGTCGAGGGCTCTGAGGGTTGAGGTTGCCCATATTTCCTCAAAGCAGCCTGGGCAAATGACCCGAAACTCTGTCAGGTCTGGGACACTGCGCCGGAAACCCGGAGTGCCCCTAACCCCAAGCCCTACGCCCTAGTCACACAACCGATGCCCCTGCTGACTCACTCTGGTCTTGCAAACCAATCTTCACATGATTACTTGGTTCATACTCTGTGCTAGCAATGTGGTCGGGGACTATCTCCGGACCTACGTGAGGGCTACAGTCTGACGTGATGATGGGACGGGAGGGTCTGTCCACCGGATGCACTGCTTGTCTAGAGTCTAGACCATGAGTTCTATCCTTATCTGGCTGCCTCCTGTTCGCACTCTTCGCGGCCATCCAATCTCACCGTCAGTATGCCCCCAAGGATGCTCACCTCCTCAGAGGAAGGGCTTGAAAAAAGAGGAGCAGCAGAAGGGGGATTACGGCAGAAGTAGTAGCATGCGCGCATATACCACTACTGTAGCAACCTTACTGCTTCACTGTAGCCGTCTCGCAGCTTTGATCGCGGCTGCAGTGGAAGGCGTTGTTGAGCTTTGGGTACCATTGGTCTGCCTTGATCCTGTCTGGCCTGAATGCCTAGCTGAGGCTTTTTGGTTTCCAATGCTTACGCCTACGGAACTCAGGAGCCCGACGCCTATACCCTACACGAAGCAAAACACTTTCCACACTCTTTGCACTTCAGCTGAAAGGATCACTCTTCATTGAAGATGAGCTCGAACTTGAAAAGAAAGCCCCTGGGCTAGTGAAAACACCAAATTGAAGAAGCATTGAGGGCGCTGCCAGATGATGGAAACCCCCGAGAGCCAGGGGCGTCTGGACCAGGCCTCAGGGGAAGCTGAAGGCAATACGGTTGACAGTGAGACTAACCTGAGCCTGAATTTTAACTTAACGGCTTCATCGCGACGCTACTACGCGTAAGTATAAGGCCTTAAACCCCAAAGCTAGAGCCGTCTGTAAACTGCAGCTAGGAAGCCAACCCTAAGCCCTGAACCTAAAACAGTTGGTGAACCAGCAGTAGCAGGACTGAGAACACCTCCCCAGCGGTTCCTCGTGCGTTGTTTCGGGTAACGTAGGGCCGACTTGCCTTAGAAAGCAAGGTTCCTTACATGTGTAGCCGCTATATGTTTAAGACTTTAGGGCTTATGTCCGGGGTAGTTCTACGGTGAAATCGTTGATGAAGCGCCCGTTTCAGATGCTGGCGTTGTAGTGCAACCAAGGAGCAACTTGGTGTGCCATCAACGAAGACCTGAAGCTTTCGCCTGTGGGCCAGGTCTGCAAACTGTGATTCTGGTTTAGCTTAGCGGTTAAAGTTTGAGACCTTTTTCGGATTGTGGCGCAGTGTTGTCAGTGCATTAGGGGTTTAGGTTGAAGGATTCTTGTCTTGTTTACCTGCAGCAAACTT